ACAAAATTTGTAGTTCAGACATTGCTCTTTCCAACAAAAAAAAATTTGATTGGTTTAGAAGTTGGCAATATGGTCTAATAGAGTCGAACATTTGTGCAAAGACTTTTGCACCGCATGTTATAGTACATCTTGTTTTACTTAGTCTTATAAAATAAAAATGTGAAATGTAGAAATTTTATTTTTGTTTACATATTGTTCATATGAGACAAAGAGACAAGAGAAGAAAAAAAATAAATTGTTGATCTTCGAGATAGAAAGATTACAAACGTTAGATTTGAGTGATTTTAAAAGAATAGAAAAAAATAAATACGAGATCGTAATTAGAAAACAAACAAATCCAATGAACATCGTGAAACTATAACAGTGAGAAATCTAAGCGAATGTTATGCACCTATAATAATAATAATACTAAAAGTTATATCTTGATATGAAAATTTCTAATATCATCAATATAAATTCGTTAAATTAAGTTTTAATCAACACGAGATTAAGTAGAATCATATTAATAATCAGCTATTCATATTATAACATTAGACACATCGAAAGAATATATTGCAACTCATGTAGTTTTTCCTTCTACTTAAATATAATGAAAATCGTCGTTGCCATATAGAAATACATATTGTCCTTAGTTTAAGTCTCAGACAAGAACAAAATGAAATGTCGAATTTCATTTATTTGTTTTTTATTATGATCTTATATTTGTTTTTTTCTCAGTGTGCTAACATCGATTCAATCATTAACGTTCGTAATTGTTCTATCTTGAAGACTAACAATATCTTTCTTTTTCTCTGCTTTCTTGTCTTTTTGTTTCATATAAACAATACCTAAAAAACAATAAAATTTCTACATATCACATTTTTATTTTATAAGACTATGTCAAACAAGACGCCGTTATATACTCTATTTGATGCTTTTGATTATTATAGTATGCTGAATAGGCAATAAAGATTAGGTTTTTTTTCTACAATGCCTAAGTTTCATGATATGTCTTCGTCGTTTTATTGCTTTACAATTAATATGTCATTCGTCTTTTTCTTTATGGTTTTATAAAATTCGTCAATGAGTCTAATTCTAAAATTTATGATGCTCATTTTGAAGATCAAAAGTATTTATCTGGCTTTTCGTCTCATTTTATAGATAAATACGTAGTAATATAATAGTATTGCTACAGATGACATTTTTGATTTCTTTGACGCTGCAGATTTTATTACTTATATATAGAGATACTGCTTTAAAATATTGTGCTAATTTCATATTCGAGAAAGTCAAAAGTGTTTATTAAAAATCCTTTTCATTTAATTTTTAATCAGTTATGTAGAAAAAACTAACTGAAAATGTGTATAAATTCGAATAAAACATGTGGTATGAATTCGATGTCGTTCGACATTTATAGTTCAATTTTTAGAAAAAAAAATGTCAGCATAAAGTGACCCTTGTATATAACTTCATAACCTATTGTGTTTTGCCTCGAAATTAATTTTCTTAATTAGAAATGCAAAGATATCGTCATCAAGAATACACTTTGACGAGCAGATATAGCTCATATGTAAGTTACTTGTTCATCGATTATAAGTTCGCCTGTTCTAGCCTTCATCATCGCACTTGTCGCATATATCGTAAGTCGATAAATCACTTGTTCTGTACTATGCCTGTAGGAAAGAGCTGATCGTCACGACGTTGTGACGGTGCGGCAGCGCGAATCTGCGAGTACAATATATTTCTGTTTTTTTCGTAAACTTCTTCAAACGCATATGCTGGGTGTGCACGCGTCTGGATGCGTTTAGACCCTATAAATTTTCACATGGGAATAACGAAAGAATATCTGACCGTACTAAGAATTCATTGGTTCTTCTGAACCAGCTTCTGTTTCAAATCAATAATTTGAAAGTGAGCAAATTTTGTCGAAAAACATCTGTTCAGATTTTATTCATCATAATCAAATTATTTCGATATTCGATATTACGACATGTAAAAATCCATGTATGTATCGTGTAATTATCCTATCTGTTCATTCTTTGTAAAATATGAAGATGGACATGACATGTTTCAGTCTCAGAACATCTTGATAGAAAAAGTCAACATAATGTTATCAAGAAGCAAAATAAATATTGAATATAAAATGTAGTAAGAAGCATGTTCTTATATCACACATTCGCTGTTGGTCTCACAAACAACAAAACTATATCAGCTAAATAAAAGAAGAGAGTTGAAACGTCATCAAAATAATTTGACAATTTTTTTTTCTGCACATGGAAATGGGCACACAAGAAGGAAACAATGACAAAACTATTATAGGCAATATGTCCAATTTTTGGCAGTATTCAATTAAAAATGGTTTCGATTTAACTCGACAGAATACTCAACAAACTTGTTCCTCCATTTATTTTGAAACAACAACTACACCTATTACTATTGATCCGACACGCTCTGCTTTAGTTATTATCGATATGCAAAATCTTTTTCTGCATCCAACTGTACAATCCCATGAGACAGGGCTAGTCGCATCACAGCAATTGCTCAAATACGCCATTCCTGCCGCACGCAAAGCAGGCATTCAAATCATCTGGCTCAATTGGGGTCTGACGGAGGAAGACATAGATCAAGCTCCTCCAGCACTCAAACGAATATTCGGATTGAACAGTATAGAAGACAAGAAGAACATGCCACCAGCCTTAAACAAAATTTTCAAAGGTTTAGGAACTACTATGGGCGAAATTACGTTGCCTAATGGCGACCATGTCGATGGTGGAAGACTACTGATGCGTGATACTTGGAATGCAAAACTTTATGATCCACTTTTTCAAAGTTATGAAAGTAGTCAGAGCAGTGCAAAGCCTGATAAATTGTTTCATAAAGTGAGTTTACTCTTATTCATTGATATGTTCATAGAGTGACACTATGAAGTATACTATAGGATCGTGTATCAGGTTTATGGGCTCATAAGTCTCCTCAACTCTCTTATCTTGACGACAATAAACTCATTACGCTCTTCTTTGCCGGTGTTAATACGGACCAATGTGTGTCTGGTACACTTCAAGATGCATTTAGCAAAGGTTTTGATTGCATTCTTCTTCGTGATGGATGTGGTACAACGAGTCCACCATTTGCTCAAGAATGTATTGAATACAATTGTGAAAAAGGAGATGGATTTCTGATGACAACTGAGGCATTTGCCAAAGGTATTCAAGCATCTCTAAAATGATTTTCATTCCTTAAATTAAAAAAAATTATTCAGGGCAACATTACGAAAGTTAAAGATTAAACTATTGAAACTATACAACATAAAAAAGTTGTTTGATTTTTTATCTGTACGTCGATCAGAATAAATTGATTATGATTCATCAAAACCAAGTTAACAAAAGTTAAGTTTCAAAATAGTTAATCTAAGACAATATTTCTAACAAGAAATAATATATCTTTATGAGGAAAATCGTAGATTGAATGAATGATTGAGTTATCTTGAAAAACTGTGTCAAAGATATTTTTAATATCGAAATGGTAAAAAAACTAAATATAGGACAAAGCTGTTGATAGTTAAGAAGGAGTACAAAATAAAGTTATTCATAGCAACATAATATAATTATATGTTCTGAATCATAGCCAAAATATGTTTCATTTAATGGAAAGTTAAATCCATTGATCTACATCAATTCAATAAATAAAAAAGAAAAAAAAAACTTAATGTTTATATGTTGTCTATCTTTTATGCCTTAATTTATTTGGGCAATATTTAACAACATCAGACTATTTGTGAACAGATTGAACTAATGTTCATCTATTTTAGATCCTAGAAAGTTATACATCTGGTATTCCATATATGAATCTGTTTTCAAATATATTCAGATAATAAAAAGCCTCATTTGTTAAATAGAAGCAATGAGGAACTATTACTGTGCGATGCTGATGAAGTTGATATGGAAACAAGTAAAGCATAAAGTTCTTCAATATGTATATGTCAAATGATATGTAAAAAGTATTATAAAGGGTGTTCCAGAAGTTCTGAAACGATTTTAAGAATTCATCGTTCTCGCATTCTACAAAAGCAAATTCGCTGAAACTTTGGTAGATTATTGTACATATGTGGTACTACATAACTGCAAAGTTTCAGGTCTATAGCTTATACTATGGATGAGAGCCTAGAACAACACTGACATGTACTATTTTTTAAATTTTCCTGATCATCTTCGGGATGT